CTGTACATCTCCGTGTCAAGGACGAGAATGTTCACGTGCTCCTCGCTGGCAATCACGTGGTCCAAGCCACCGTAGCCGATGTCGTAGGCCCAGCCGTCTCCGCCAACGATCCAGAAGCTGCTGCGGCCGAACATGTCTTCCCTCGGCTGCGGCAATGGCTGCATCAGAAACTAGCTGTTTTGCGTTGTCTTGCAAACACACGGTAGAGATTGAACCGATGACGCACCAATGACGTCGGCTGTTCCGACCATGACTGCATGGTTCACCGAGTGGCAAGTCGTAGAGGTTGTGGATCTTTGGATGCGTGCCCTTCTCCTGGAAAAGGCCAGCTTTCTAACTGGCCAAGTGATCGTATGCACACGGCGAAGATCCTTCTCCAGCAACGGCACGAGCTTCTCCATGATCTGATGGTAGATGCCTCGGCGACAAGCCACGTTCCGGTACTACGCACACTCCAGGGCAAGCCATCCAGCCGAACAGACGAGGCACTGCGGCCTTTTGGCAGCAAGAGGTCGTGCATCTGCTCCTGCCAGCGACGATATGACTAATCAATTTGCCTTGCCCGCTACGAGGAACCGTTCGGCGGTCGAGCTTGACAACCGGGTCAGGGGATTTGCGTCCTTGCGCATCACCAAGAACTGCTGCAGGGCCTGGCGCAATTCGTCAGACATCTTCACGGACTGATCCGCCAAGGTGTCCTGCAGGCCAACACATGCCAACGAGAAACCCCCTGCTCACGGAGACACTCGACCCGGCCCTCAGCTTTAACGGAGTGCAGACCTCCACTTGCAATGCGAGGTAGTCGCGGCGCTGCTTAAAGGCCTCGCCGAAATACATTCAACGGATTCACGTTGCTATCGTTACGTCTATCAGGACAGCAGGCGAGCCTTGCGCATGCCGAAGCCGAACTCAGCATTGTCTTCGAACAAGGAGTTTGCCCAGGCAGGGCCCTCTCCCTTGCTGTTCGTCGTGTACGGGAAGGATGGGTTCGAGCCACCCCAGATCGAGGAACAGCCTGCCAATGCAGGACGAGTGCTACGAGTAAAACAAGACTAGGACAACAGTACACTTTTGATGATTCCCGACTGCTTTTGGTTC